TGAAGATAAGGGGGAGGAATTAGAACAGTTCTAAGAGGAACATTCATAGCTATGAGTATCTTCATTAAAAAATTAGAAGCCAGGAGCTGGTGGCTCAAGCCTGTAACCCTAGCTCCTTGGGAGGCTGAGATTAGGAGGATTATGTTTTGAGGCCAGTCTGGGAAAATACTTCATGAAACCCCCATCTCTAAAATAACCAGAGCAAGAATGGACTGGAGGTGTGGCTCAAGCAGTAGAGTGTCTGCTTTGCAAGTGTGTAGCCTGAGTTCAAACCCTAGTCCACCCCCCAAAAAAATTAGAGAGATCTCAAATAGCCTAATGATGCACCTCAAGCTCTTAGAAAAACAAAACAAGTCAAGCCCAAAAATCAGTAGAGGAAAGAAATAATAGAGGAAGGGACAAAAATTAGTGAAATGGACACTAAAAGAATGACACAGAGTTGGTTCCTGGACACCCCTTAGCTAAACTAACCAAAACAAAAAGGGAGAAAAGACCCAAATTAATAAAATTATAGATGAGAAAGGGGATATTACTACAAATACCCATGAAATTCATATGATCAGTAGGTAAAATTTTGAAAACATACATCCTAATAACCTAGAAAATCCAGAACAAATAAATTTCTAAACACATGACCTATCAAAATTGAACTAAGAAGATATAAACAACTTAAACATATCTGTAAGTAGCAATGGTACTGAAGCTATAATAAAGAGATTCCCAACAAAGAAAATCTCAAGACCTGACAGCTGTACTGCTGAATTCAAAAGATCTTTAAAGAAGAACTAACATTAATGCTCCTCAAACTATCCCATAAAACAGAAATAGAAAGAACACTACCAAATTTATTCTATTACCCTCATACCAAAACTGGCTGAGATCACAACAAAAAAAGAAAATTGTAGGCCAATTTCCTTAATGAACATAGATGCAAAAATTCTCAAGAAAACTGCAAACTGAATTCAACAACACATTAAAAAGATCATATGTCATGAACAAGTTGTTTCCATTCCAGAGATGCAAGGATGGTTCCACAAACGCTAATAAATAAATATAATACAGCACATAAACAAAATCAAGGACAAAAAAAAAAATTACACAATTATCTCAATAGATGCAGAAAAAGCCTTTGACAAAATTCAACATCTGTTCATGATAAAAGCCCCAAAGAAACTAGGAATAGAAGGAACATACTTCAACATAATAAAAACTATACATGATAAACCTATAGCCAACATTAAACTAAATGGAGAAAAACTGAAAGCATTTCCCCTGGTCAGGAACGGGATATTTGTCCAGTCTTTCCACTCTTATTCAATTTAGTGGTTTAATTCTTAGCCAGAGCAGTAAGGCAGAAGAAAATAAATAAAAGGGATATAAATAGGAAAGGAAGAAGTCAAATTATCTATCTACAAAATATATAATTCTACACTTAAAAGACCCTAAAGACTCTACCAAAAAACTCTTAGATCTCATAAGTACCTTCAGCAAAGTAGCAAGACACAAAGTTAGTATACAAAAATCAGTACCTTTTTTGCTTTACAAATATGAAGCCCTGAATTCAAATCCCAGTCTCACAGAAAAAAAAAAGTAGCTTTCCTATATACCAATAACAAATGGGCTAAGAAAGAACAATTCCATTCATAATAGCCTCAAAAAAAAAAAAAACACAAAAATCTAGGAATAAACGTAACTAAGGAGGTGAAAGGCCTTTACAATGACCAAAACTATAAAACACTGAAGAAATTGAAGACACTAGGAAATGGAAAGATCTCCCATGTTCATGGGTCAGAACACTCTGAAAATGGCTATATTACTGAAAGTGATCTACAGATTCAAGGCAATCCCCAACAAAACTGCAATGACATTCTTCACAGAAGTAAAAAAATCAATCCTAAAATTTATATGGAAACATGAAAGACCGTGAATAGCCAAAGTTATCCCTGAGCAAAAGAGTAATGCTAGAAGTATCACAATACCTGAATTCAACAGCATGGTACTAACCAATGGAATAGAAGACCAAGAAATAAACCCACATAGCTACAGCCATCTGATTTTTGACAAAGGTGCCAAAATCACAAATTGGAGAAGAGACATATTCTATAACAAACAGTATTGGGAAAACTGGACATCCACATTTAGAAGACTGAAACCTAGACCCCTCTCTCTCACACTGTAAAAAATCAAATCAATATGGATCAAAGGCCTCAATACTTAACACCCAAAACTTTGAAACTGCTATAGGAAACACTTGAAGATATATAGGTTTTCTCAATAGGACTCCAATAGCTCAGGAAATAAGACCAAGAATTAATAAATGGGATTAGATCAAATTAAAAAGCTTCTGCACATCAAAGAAAACAATTATCAAAATGAAGAGACAGTTGATAAAATGCGAGAAAATGTTTGCCAGGTATTCAGACAAGAGATTAATATCCAGAATATATAAAGAGCTTAAAAATTAAGTAAAAGAATAAATAATGCAATTAATAAATGGGCAATTGGATTGAAGAGTTTTCAATAGAAGTACAAATGGTTAATAAACACATGGAGAAATGCTCAACATCCTTGGCCATAAAGGAAATGCAAATCAAAATGACACTGAGATTCATCTCACTCCAGTCAGATTGGCTATCATCAAGAAAACATACAAACAAATGTTGGTAAGGATGTGGAAAAAAGTAACTCTTTTGGACTATTGGAGGGAATAGTGTAGCAACTATAGAAGTAAGAAGGTTCAAAAAAAAAAGCCCTAAAAATAGAACTCCCATATGATCCTGCTATACCACTGGGCATATATCTGAAGAAATTTAAGTCAGCATACAATAAAGATGCCTGTGCACCCACCTTTATTGCAGCAGTATTCACAAGTCAAGCTATGGAATCAGTGTAGATACCCATCAACTGATAAATGGTTAAAGAAAATGCAGTAGATATACACAATTTGGCCACACATGAAATTGTTGCAGGAAAATGCACAGAACTGGAGACCATCATGTTAAGAAAAATAAACCAGGGCTGGCGGAGGACTGGAGGCATAGCTCAAGTGGCACAGTGCCTGGTTTGCAAGCCTGAAGCCCTGAGTTCGAACCCTAGTACTGTTAAAAAAAAAGTGACATGAATGTAAAATGAGGAATGTTTTGGGGTGTGTATGCGGGAAATCAGTGAAAAGGGGAAGGGTAAAAGGAGAAGGTGATGGGGGTGAATGTTATGGACGTACATTATATGCATGTATGGATGTATGGAAATTTCACCCCTTTGCACCAGAAATACACACTAACAAAATAGCAAAAAATAAAAAAATAAAAAAATAAATTACCCATAAATAAAAGACAGGGACAGATGACTTTACTGGTGAATTCACCTAAATATTTAAAGAAGAATTAATGCCAATTCTTAATAAACTCTTGCAAAACAGAAGAGAACACTATCTCACTGTATGAAACCATTATTATTCTGTATCAATATCAGACGAAGACATTGTAAGAAAATTACAAATCAAGTGGTTGTGGTGGTGCACACTTATAATCCTAGCACTTGGGAAGCCAAGGCAGGAGGCCAGCCTGGGCTACATAGAGACCTTGTCTTAAATAAATAAAACAAAATGATTATATAAACTGATGAAGTGGAATCAAGCTCATGAACACAAAGTTGGTTTGACATCTAAAACCAATCAACATAATATCATATTAATAGAATAAAACCCCAGAACACGATCATAAAAAAGCAGAAAAAGCATTTGACAATATCCAACCCATCAACAACAACAAAAAAACTGCAACAAACTGCATATGAAAAGTATCTTTCTTGAGCCTGATAAAAAGCATTTGTGAAAAGCCTATAGCCAACATCATACTTCATGATGAAAAAATGAGTATTTCATCCTAAACTCAGGAACAAGAGAAGAATGTCTTCTGTCACTTTCCACTCAACATTGCTGAAGGTAATAGCAAGGTCAATTAGGTAAGAAAAAGAAATAGAAAGCATCCAGTCTGGAAAAGAGAAGTAAAACCATTCCTACTGACAGTTTATCTATCTATATCTAGTGTTACATTACAGGTGACAGTGTAATAGAAATCCTAGGGAATCCACTAAAAAACTAGGAAAATTGGTAAATGAGTTCAGCAAGGTTATAGATTTAAGGTCAGTATGCAAAAACATACATGCTATATACAAAAACGCAACTGTATAAACCTGAAATAAAGAACCCAGAAAGAAAACTAAGAAAGCAATTCTACTTACAGTAGGATTTAAAAAAAAAAAAAAAAAGAAACTAAGAAATAAATTTAACAAAAGTACCAAACTTAAAATATGAAAACTACAAAACAATCACTAAGGGAAATTAAAAATCTAAATAAACAGAAGCACATCCCATGCGCATGGATCAGAGCTTAACATTAAGATGGCAACATCCCCAAAACTAATCTTGAGATTCAGCAAGAATCAAAATTCTAGGTGGTTCTTTGTAGAAATTGATAAGCCAATCCTAAAATTTCATACAAAAACTCAAGAGACACAAGGTAACAACAATTCCCTTGGAAAAAAAAAAGGAAACTAGGAACATGTCCTCATTTTGAAAATCCAAGTGTATATTTGAGCTGATAAAAATATTGGGCAAGGCTTACTTATTGGATCCCATAAATGGGACTCTATTTCCATTACTATGTTTTATCAGTTCTTAGACAGCAGAGTCTAAGACTACACAAAAGCACAAATGTTTCCAAATAGTGTGTAAGCATTCACAGTTCTTCTATGACTCTGAGTAGAGAAAAGTATCCATTTCTGGTTAAAATATAAAACTCTCCATACTTTGTGATGCTTCATGCAGAGTGGCATCTCTTTGAAATCATGGTTCCAACATACAAAGTATAGGGCATTTTTCCTTATTTTGACAGTTTGATTAAAATTTACAGAGCTGATGTGCTTATGCTAAAGAAAAGTGCTTTCAATATCTACAACTTTATAGCAATTACTTCTCCAATGGAGTTAACTGTACTTACATCAATATCCTCTTGGGTAAAAGTTTCTGGATCTTCTCCCATCATGTTGGCTAAATGTCTTTTTCCTATGTTGAACTCTTCAATCTGCTTTTTAATAAAATCCTGTGTGTATGTTTCACGTCTTAAGGCCGGAACATTTTTCTTTGTTGTAATAACTGTGGTATGTATTGGCTTTAATATCTAACAGAAAATATAAAGTGGAAAGAAAAGCAAATATCTGAAATTAAACAGCAATCTAAGAGGCCATTGTCTCTGAATCAAACAGGTAGTCAAGCAGTTATCTTTTTTATAATAATCCTTAGTCAACGGGATTCCAGAAACAAAGTAAAAAGCACTCCTCCCCCCCAATCTTGCTTACAAAGTAGATTAAACCACTAGCATTTCAAGATACCTGTGGATGGTTATGCTACACCTTCTTATCTACCATAAACATTCATATCAGGTACTAATTAGTCAGTGGTGGTATGTCACACACATGGTATAAAGAGGAGAGAGGCCAGTGCACATGCAGCCCAGCAGACATGGGAGTAAATGACACATATCTGGGGCTCGTATCCTTGGTCTGTGGATCCTTAACTTGTCTGAGAGTAAAAACACAGCCTAAGTAGGTTTGGCTTAGTTTGGGACTTCAGTCCACTATCCTTATATTATATTAATACAACGAAGAACTGTTTCACGGCCATGCACTGGTGGCTCACACCTGTAATCCTAACTACTCAGGAAGCAGACAAGAGGATGAAGGCTGGAAGCCAGCCTGGGCAAATAGTTTGGAAGACCCTATCTCAAAAATACCCAAAACAAAACAAGGTTGGCAGAGTAGCTCAAGTGGCAGAGTGCCTGCCTAGCAAGCATGAGGCACTGAGTTCAAACCCCAGTACTGCCAAAAAAAGAAAAAAAATTGTTTTGTACACATGCATGAAAATGAAAGAATGATAGCTGTTGAAATATTCCAGGAATGGGGGGAGGTGGGTATGAAGGAGAACAGCAGAGGGGGTGCGTTCAAGCATGACATATTTGGTGTATTGTAAGAACTTTTGTAAATGCCACAATGTACCCCCACCCAGCAAAAAAAAAAAAAAAATTTTCACTAAACACTGAGATTTCTTCTTACTAATATAGAAATAAAGGCTTTCCTATTGGTCCTCTTATGTTACAGTATTAGGAATTTCCTTCCAAGACATTAACATTTCATTTTCAATAAAGGGTTCTAAAGAGCCAGAAAAAAAAATGTTTTCAAATGACATTCAGTTGCATTCTGCAGCTGGATATAACTAAAACAGATCTTGCTGGCCCTGGCTTTTCCTAAGATCTTAAATCTTTATCCCTACCCCAATATTTCTAAACATTCTTAATATTCAGACTTAAAACTGCAATCCTGGTAACATACTTATTGTCCTTTTCATAAACATCAAAATCTCTCACATACATCATCCACCAGACCATTCCCCCCACATCTTTCTCCTTCCACCTGAGAATCTTAAATTCAGATCACTCTATAGTAACTGTCATGGTAATGACAATGAAAATATTACAATCTCCAATTAATGGTAAAAATTATGTTCTTAGATGCTTCCAAAGTAACACAGTTAAAGATGCATCTTCCTACTGTTTAATGGGTAAGAAATGACTATTTAATATTCTATGAAACTAAGTATTTTTCCCCTTGGAGAGGACAAAGGAGCTTCTGCTTTTTAAATACATTATTAATCAATAATCATTTTCTTATAATGCTTTGTAAAGACACTGTTACTATCAGTAAATAAAAAAAGACAAAACTTTCTTATTGCAGATTGTTCCCCTCATCCAGTTTTGCTTTCCCTGGCTTCAGTTACCTGTAGTTGAAGGATGAGTATAGTGCAGTAATTTATTTTGAGATGAAGACATACCACATTCACCTAACTTTTATTACAGTATAGTGTATAACTGCTGTATTATTGTTGTCAATCTCTTATTGTGCCTAATTCATAAATTAAACTTTATCATAAGTATGCATATACTGGAAAAATATACAGTTTGGTACTATTTGCAGTTTCACAAATCTACTGTGAGTCTTGGAATCCTTCCCCTGTGGGTAATGGGGGAGGGGTAGGGGGGACTATTAGTTATAGTTAGCCTGTTCTTTTAGACACAGCTGGTTTTCCCCTCCCCTGCCCACCGCCAAGTGTCACTAGCATCAACTCCCTGCCTCAGTAGTTTATCACCACATGATTTTAATGTTTTACAAGGAGTTGTTTGTTTTGGGTTAAAAACCATAAAATAATTCCATGTCTTATTTGAGCAATGAAGACTCTTGCTCCCCATATTCAAAACAAAGACAAAATGTTTTTCTCCCCAAGAAACATGGCAGTCATGAACTTGGGGCCAAAAGTTAACAGTCACAGATCAGAGGTAATTCTCTCCAATTTTCCATTGCCAAAAGGATAATTACACTGCTGGTTTTGTAAATACTATGATTTTTGTCCATGGTTAAAACAATTTACTTGCAATGCAGCTGAACCCAGAATTCAAAAAAATCCAGAAGATACTTTTTTAGATTATTACCACTACACTTCCCACCATCACATACACAGCATTAGGAGGAGAAAGGAACCTCTCAGTGAATATTGTTCTGTTCTCTGCAGTAAGGAATTGTAGAGGGAGAACAAGACCAGGGAGGAGAGGGATGAGCTTGACTTTGGGAATGCTGAGTTTCAGATATCTGATGGACCTCCCAAGAGGCAGATGGCTGTATGGGTGTGTGTTCAGGAGAGACCTGAAGTAGAGGTAAGGGTCTGTTAAAAATCCATGAGATATGTATGCTGACACCATTGGAGTAGAGGAAATGGCAGGCATGAATAAGTGTCAGAAAGAGAAGTCTCTGTATTATATTAAGAAGCAAAACACGACTGGAGGTGTGGCTCAAGCAACAAAGTACCTGCTTTGCAAGTACAAAGTCCTGAGTTCAACCCCAGTCTCACCAAAACAGAAAAGAAAAAAAATGGTCACAAGAAGCAAAACATCTTACAGATGAGGAAGAGTAGGCAAAAAGGTAAAGCTGCTTGTCTTATAGTCACTTTTGTGGAATAGGAGATGAGATGGTCTGCTGAGAGTAAAGAGGGTTAGGTTTGATGGACTGAATACTTCATATTCAAATGGCAATGATGCAGTTTAAAGAGTAGACAGAGACAGGTACAGTGGCTCCATCTGTAATCCGAGCCACTTGGTAGGTTGAGATTGGGAGGATCGTGGTTTGAGGCTAGCTGAGGCAAAAAGTCTGCAAGACCCCATGTCAATCAAGGGCAGGGTTCTTCATGCACCTGTCACCTCTGCTACACAGGGAAGCACAAATAGAAGAATCGTGGTCCTGGACAGCCTGGGCATGAACCAAGATCCTATCTGGAAGAGTGGCTCAAGTGGTACCATGCCTGCCTAGCAAGTGTAGGTAGGCCCTGAGTTCAACCCCCAGCAGTGCCAAAAACAACCAACCAAACAAGAGATAAAGTGTAGATAGGAAAAGAAAATTGTAAGAAAATATTAGAAAAACATTTAAGTATCTACTTGTACTTACACACCATACTTGTGAACTAAAATACCAAAAAAGTAGATAGGAATCTACATTCATACAATATAAGTAATATTTTCTTTCCTGTAGATTCCTTTGTGTGTTTCAGTGGTATGTTCAATATACTCTTTAAAGCAGCATGTTAGGATGGACTGGAGTCTTCAGCATTACAAAGTTTTTCAGTCCCATAAAATACTTTTATCTGGAATTCAATTCTGTTGGATTAAAGCATCATCACTCATGGTTTTCATTTAAGTTTTATGCCACTTAGGTTGGTCTTTTTTTTTCCTGACATAATCTTGAGTTTTTAATGGATGAAAATATCCCATTTACATTGGTATTAACAACTATTATGTTTTATCATTTATCTTTTGTTTGTGAAACAGGGTCTTGTTATGTAGCCCAGGTTAGTCTTGAACTCATAATCCTACTGCCTCAGCCTCTCAAGTGCTGGGATTACAGGTGTGCACCACTGCTCATTTATCTTTTTGATCTTTATACTTTTTAATGCATCCTTATTTTCTTTTTCGTGTGGTTTTTTTTTTTTTTTTTTTGTCTTTCACTCTGACAATTTGGATAGTAAATAATCTGGTCTTATTTTACTAATGTGCCTCTGAATCCCCCTCCCCCCAGAATCCCACTGGCCTATTATGCTTGTGGGTCATGGCAATGTCCCTCTGTTCTCCGTATGTATCAGTTTCTCTTAGTTTTATCTCTTGCCCTTTGCTTCTACATTCTGCACAGTGTTTAAACTTTTACTTCAGGGCTCTTTCCCTCTTTCTGCAGTATCAATTCTGCTTACTGTAGCCACTCTGAACTTTTAGTTTTTTGTATCACTGGACTATATTCAAAATTCATGCCTCTGCAGTTTCTTTTAAATATATTTTCTTTCCTAATCCTGTGTCATCCAGCTCTCCCTCACCCAAACTTTCTTAGATCATCCTTGACAATGTGAAGTAGCTGGGGTAAAATATAGTAGTCCCCACTTGCCCACAGAGGGCTACATTCCAAGCCCCCACAGCTGATGCTTAAAATCACAATTCTGAACCCCTATGTACTTTTTCTTACACACACATAGCTACAGAAGATTAATTTATAAAGTGGGCACAGTAAGAGATTAACATAATAGGATAATTAAAACCATATGCTGAAATAAGTTACGTGAATGTGGTATCTCTCTTGAAGGAGTCAACACAAGTATGTTTGGACTGCAGCTGACCACAAGTAATGGAAATCACAAAAAGCAACTCACAGGGGGGCGGGGGATGGGGGGAGAAATGGCCCAAACAACATATGCACACATGAATAAATGAATAATAAAAAAAAAAGAAGCAAAGCACAAGTAAGTGGGGACTACTGTAGTTCTTCCATTTTGCTGAATAAGCTCCCTTTGTATTCTTCTCATCTATCTCTTCCACACTGTTCTGTTTCTTCTTTGGTTGCTACTACATTTTAGCACTTTCTCAAGCAAAAGAATTGATTATTGTGGTGAAGATTTATTTCTTCACTTGATTAAAAATTTTGTGCTTATCTATATTCTCTGGAGGTTGTGACACAAGATGGCAACTCTCCTAGTTTTAATATAAATAAGGTTTAAATACATTTACAAAATGTTTTATTGTTGTTCACTTGAAAAGAG